CTCGCAGCGGGCACGGCAATCAATGAAACCGCCATCTTCCCGCTTGCGGACCGCCAACCCATTCGCAGTGTCAGCTGGAGCCCCCCCCCCCCCTAGCATGTGGTGTGAGTAGAAGCACGCCCCCCTCCCTGGAAGCGATGTGCGCCTGCTCCAGAGCCCTTAGCCACCCTTCATATCTTGCGCGGTCATTATGCGTGCTCTCAAAAAAGAAAAGCCGGATCCGACAAACCCGAGCTGGGATTAACACACCCGCACCGAGAGCTCCGCCGAGGCGGGGCATGGGGTGCTGTGGTCAGTGCGCACAGGCCTGGACGGTCTTGGCCGTCGGTCCTGTCTGGGCACGCCTCGCGCGCCCCGCGGCAAAAAAACTCTTGAGGATTCCCGCACACCCCGGATATTCCTTCTCGAGCTCCCGTCCGTGAATGCGAGGCGCTCCCTCCCACCTTCGCACACTCTGTATATCACAACAGTGTCGATCAACCCCGGCGCTTGTCTGATTTGTGGCACGCAATCCGCCAATCCCGGCGCTTGAGTTGTCTGATTTGTGGCACGCGGCGATGGCGGCGGAGAAGGCATTCTTCAGCCGGGGAGGGGGCCTCTTACAGCAGCCTGGCGCTTCCCACCCACGGTGGAGGACATCGAGATCTCGACTAGATCCGGCCTACGTATCCGGCCGTAACCGTTCTTTCTGTGGAGATTGGTTCTGCTGCACGACACGAGTTTATAAGTAACAGCTAACTCACTAACACTAACAGATTTTGTATTGCACCAATATATCTCGCCACATAAATTACACGCCCTGTTCTTTTACGGGAATTACGCACGTCCATTTATTTTAGCGCCCCTCCCACCCCCGCCCCTCCCACCCCCACCCCTCCAATATGATTTACAGCTTTTGAACCTCCGATCCTGCCCCTGCTTCGCGATCTTGGCCATCGCGCGGCTACGCGCGTAAGCGAGCGCGGCTTCTTCCACCGTCTCAAACGTGCCCGAGATCCATTGTGCATTCTGGCCAGCATGGTCGTCCGCCCCGCGATGTTGCCAATGCATGGCATTGTAAGCGCGGTAGCACGTTCTGAGTGAGCGCTTGCCCGCGTCATACACAACCACGCCGCGGAAGCCTGTGCTCGTGTTCGAGCTCGACGGCTCAAGCTGCAGCCCCTCGCTTATGGCCTGCTGGCGTGCCGCCTCCGCCTGCCGAGCCAGCCTGGGCGCGCGCGCAGCTTCATCGCTCCGCCGCTGCTCCTCAGCGGCCGCAGCCCGCGCCGCTGCCGCCTCCTCGACCGTGTCGAAGCTGCCGACGTAGCGGGACTTCCCTCCCCCTTCCCCCTCCCCGCCCGGGACGTCCAGGCGCGCGCGGTACTTATTCCCATGCTTGTAGACGCCTCGATAACCCGTCCACGAGGGGCCTCGATAACCCGTCCGCCAGCCGACAAGTCGTCTCCTTGACGACGTCCCGCGAGCCGAAACCCCACTGTCGGCGTCTGCCGCCTCGCTCTCGAAGCCCGGCGCATCGGTTGGTCCAACTGCGCGACCACATAGTATAATGTGCGACGTGGTCTCGGACACACACCTCTCTCGGGCCGCCGTCAGCCTCTGCTCGTCGGAGTGGGCGGGCCTCCCAGCCTCAGCCGCTGGATGAAAGAGCTCCGCCAGCGGCACCGCCTCCTCCTCGTCGCCGTCCTCGTACGCCACGCCAAAGGTGCCTGCTCACAGCTGCAGGTGTGAACACAGCGTCTCTTCACAGCTCGTACGCCCCACGCCAAAGGTGCCGTCGTTGTTGACGGAAGCCACCTCGCCGCGGTACCTACAAGGGAGGGAGGGGAGAGGGTCGACAAGAGCAGCTCCTCCCCGTCGCAGTCTTGGACACGCTCGAGCCGCGGCACCAGCGCGACACGTCCGAGAAGTAGACCGCCACCGCAGCCCCCTCGACGGCGTCGGCAGCGGCGAGCGGCGCGCCCGGCCGTGTCAGCGGCTGCTGCTGCTGCTGCTGCTGCTGCTGCTGCTGCTGCTCGCCCGGCTCGCAAGAGTCGTTGCGCGCCGGCAACAGAGAGTACGTCGCGCGAGCAGGCCGGCGAGCGTGACACGTCGCGCAGCGCTCGGCAGCCGCGGGATTAGCCAAAGTGCAGCCGCGGCAATTCCACTCGGCATCGCAGGAGGCGAGGCACTCGTCAAGAAGTGGGGCGGCCACCGCCGACCGCACACCGCTCGACTCGGTCGCTGCAAAGAATGCCGTGTCCACTCGAAGCGCGCGGTGCGACTTGACCGGCTGGCGACACGACGGGCATTCCTTCTTGACTGTGAGTGCGGTCTTGACGCATGCCTCGCAAAAGCGGTGCCCGCAGGGCGTCAGCACCGGCGAGCAGAATGTGTCCCAGCAGATCGGGCAGCGCAAGGAGATCGAGGTCGCGGCGCTGGCGGCGCGCGACATATATATATATGCCTCAGGTTAGTCTCCCGCTCCCCCCCCCCGGGTCGCGACTAGACCGGCGCAAAAATTCTTTTCTACAGTCCGCACCTGTGTCGCCTGACTGCTGTGAGAGAGAGTTGTTTTAATTAAATTCTTTTCTCAATCTGTGTGTGTGTGTGTGTGCGTGCGTGTGTGAGTGTGTGCGCGCGCGCGTGTGTGTGCATCTCAGGGCGCCATGGGCTGACGCTGTCTGTGCTTCGAACGACCGGTTGAGTGCACGGCCATGAGGCTGCGTGACCGTGCGTCGCAGCGCTTCGGGAGGAGGTGAAATGTAGTCCTCTTGCACCAATGGGTCGGTCGAGAACGAAATCCGAGACCCCTCCCCCCCGCCCCGACCCCCCCACCCCCTTGCTCCCCTCCCCCCCTCGGGAGGGCCGAACTGAGGCGCCCGTGGGGACCCCGCAATTCCCTTCCCCCCTCGGAGGGGGCCGGACGAGGCGTACCCCGGGGGCCCCGCTCTGTCCCTCGCATAGCGGCCACTCTTCGGATCGCTGGTCGAGCGACCCGGGGGATGCCCCGCGCGCCTGACCCAGGCGCGAAAAACGAATCTGCGAGGCGAGGCCGCTCACGCGCGGCCCGATGGGGAGGAACGGGGCGGACTGCGGGGATCGGCCTCTTACACCGCCCTTCCTTGCAGCGAGCCCCCTCCAACCCACCCGCGCTAGGTCTCGGGTTTGACGCATGGGGTCACTCCTGCGAAACTCGTGAACTAGCCGGGGCAGTCGGAGAAGGGGCAACTCCGTGCACTGACGGTCGGCCGTCAGAAGCCACGCCTGCGTGGATCGCGTCACACCAATCCTCAAAAGTCGCCAAAAGTGGCCAAAAGTGGCCAAAAGTGGCGAATCACCCGCCCGCCGTCCCGGCGGTCCCGCAGCTCGCGCACATCTCCCTCTTAACCCACCTCTCTAACATCACATAATGGTATTGCTAATTAAAAATCTCTCTCTGTCTGGATTCTTACGACCCTCACCCGCCAAGGAAGGCAGGTGTGCAATGATGTATGTGCGCGTCTGTTGTTGTCCTACGCGCGGGGACCGAAAAAGAAACAAAAATCCTACCAGTGGCCCGATAGTAGTACCGGCCTTCTTCAAACGATCGAAAGAAGGCGCGCTCCCACAAAGAAATAAAATCCTCGGGGTGCCGAGAGGTGTCGCGCGAGTCCCTGGGAACAGCATGCGCTCCGACGTGATTTGCTTGGCCCGCGCAGCTGTGGAACCGCCGCTGTCTTCGATGACGTCAACCTCGATTGGCTCCCTCTCTCTCGAGAAGGTTGGAATCGTCTCCGAGTCGCCGCTCCCGTCCACGGCACTCATGCTGCTGCGAGAGATCAAAGAGCAGGCCGGCGAACCCCTGGCGAGACTGAGGGCGTCCATGGGGTGGTGCTTGGATGACGCGCAGTTGAGTGAGCTCCGTTACCACAAGCACGAGCTCGCCCGCATGGCAAAGCATCTCGCACCTTCGGCGCTCGCACACCTCATGATCACGACAGAGCTCGCCTATGGCGCCTGGACCGCGGCCGGCAAGCTGGGCACCCTACGTCACCACCTCGCGGTCAGCCGCGTCCTGGCGGCGATCAAGGCCGACGGAGAGGTCATCGAGGCTGCGATGCTGGCGGGCTTGCGCGAGGCGGAGGTTGGCGTGGCGGCGCAGGACTTGACTGCCATCCTCGGAGAGGAGGCGGCCGCCGCCATCGACGAGATTGGCGGCGGCGTCTCGACGGTATGGCGCCTCTCGGCGCGGCTCGAGCGCGCCGCCGAGGGTGCGGACGGCGGCGCTGGCGCCGGCGTGGCAGAAGAAGGGGGCGAGCTCGGCGCGAGTCGGGCGGAGCAGCTCGAGCGGCAGTGCCAGATCATGCTCGCCGGCTGCGACGACCCTCGCTCGATTGCAATCGCGCTCGCGTCGCGCCTCGTCTCGATGCGCGAGCTGTACGGCGCGATGGTCGGCCAGCAGCTCGGCGTCAACCGCTGTCCGCCGCGCCTCGCCACCTGGAACCTTCTCTGAACCTTCTCGGAGCCTTCCCGTAAGGCGTCAACGAGCTGGCCGCCGCGCCTCGCCGCTCGGATTGCGCGCTCGGCTGCTTGAGCGCGTGTGCGCTCGACAGCGGCGCCGCGTGCGCCGCCTTCCAGCGGTGCGGCGGCGACGCCGCCGAGTGGCGCGCGCTGCTGCAGCGGCGCGACGTCTTCACGCAGCAGACGGAGGAGGTGTTCATCCCGCTCGCGCAGCGGCTCGGGATGTGGTGCGAGACTCCTCTCCCTGGAGCCCCTCCAAATGCCGCGCTAAGCAGTACGGTGGCGCACACCCTGCCACGCCCGCCTCTCAGGTACTTCAAGACGGAGCTCGAGATCCTAGCCTTCTCGGTGGGGAGGCCTGCCGAGTATGCCGCCCTCTCCTCTGCGCTGGCGGACCTGACGGAGCGCGCGCGGCCGGCGCTCGAGGAGGCGGAGGGGCAGATCGAGGCGGCGCTGGCGTCCGACCCGCTGCTGCAGCGGCAGACAAAGTGGATCCGGGTGCACGCGCGCATCAAGGACCTCGTCTCTGTGGCGCGCAAGATGGAGCGCAAGGGGCTGGAGAGCGTCGACGGGCTCGACGACCTGCTCGCCTTCCGCTTGGTGGTGATGCCGACCGAGACGCGGCCCCTCTCCCCGGACGGGCACCGGCCGGAGCGGATGAGCGCGCGGGACTGGGAGGCGCGGCAGGCGCTGCTGTGCTACCGCGTGCTCGAGGCGGTGCACAAGACGCTGCCCGTCGCCTCGACGGCCAAGGGCGCGCTCCTCAAGGACTTCATCGCCTCGCCGAAGCCAAACGGCTACCGCTCCCTCCACTCGTGCGCGCTGGTGCGCGGCATCAAGGCGGAGGTGCAGGTGCGCACCGCCGAGATGCACCACCAGGCAGAGTACGGCTCGGCGGCGCATTGGCTGTACAAGGCGGACGACCGCCGCCGCGACGCGGCGCACCAGGTCTGGCAGCGCGAGCTCGGCTTCGACCAGACGACCGGCTTCGGCGAGCCGCGCCGCTCGCCCGTCAAGCGGCGGGTCGCCGAGGAGCGGCGCCTCTTTGGCGGCGACGGCGGGGCGGAGGCAGGCGAGGGCAGCGAGAGGGCGGAGGGCGGCGGCGGTGGCCGCGGCGGTGGCCGCGGCGGTGGCTCCGCGCCGCGAGAGGTGGAGGCCGGCGCGGCGTCTCGCTCGCCGCGCCGGCCGGAGTCGGACCGCCGCAAGCTCTTCGTCGCCTCGCTCAGCTTCGACGTGACCGAGGGCGACTTGCAGGAGCTGTTTGCCCCGTTTGGGCGGCTCACCGAGTGCCGCGTCGCCACCAGCCGCGAGACGGGACGCTCCCGCGGCTATGGGTTTGTCAGCTTTGCTGACGCGAGCGACGCGGCGGCTGCGTGTCGCGAGCTGACCGGCCGAGAGGTGCGCGGCCGAGCGTGCCGAGTCGAGGTGAGCCAGCCCCGCGGCGGCCGAGGCGGCCGCGCCGATCCAGCTTACTCTCCGCCTTCCGCTCCCGCCACGACGCCGAGTGCCGCAACGCCGAGGGTCGCCGCGCCGGCGGCCGGGGCGGCGGGGGCGGCCAGGCCAAAGCAGCTGGTGCGGCGCGCGAGCCGGCGGGCGGGGGCGGGCGAGGTGTCGCGTGCCGAGCACACCATCGGCCGTGTCCACACGGCGCTGCGCGCGCGGCGCGTGCTCGCGTCGCAGGAGGACGGCACAGTCCTCTCCTTCGAGGCTGGCGTGACGGTCGAGGCCGCCCTCCGCTCGCTGCCGGCCGGCGGCGGGCCTACGCCCGGCGAGGCGCTGGCGCGGGCGGTGGTCAACGGGAGGCTCGTGCGCGCCGACTACGCGCTGCAGAACGGGGACGTCCTCGGTCCCCTCGAGGCAGCGACTTGGCGGCCGGCGCGGCGCGAGACGAGCGAGACGCTCGAGGCCATGGCGGCGGCAGACAGCGGCGTGAGCAGCGACACGCGCTACTGGGCGGGGCGCGTACCCTGGCCATGGTCCCTAATCCAGAGCGACGACGCGAGCGACCAGGCGGCGTGGCGGGTCGAGGCGGAGCGGAAGCACGGCAACGTTGCCCTCACCGCGCTGCTCACGTGGCTGTGGCTCGTGCTGACGGGCTGGACGGCGGCGGACGCGCCCCCCCTCTCGGGCCTTAGCGGCCTCGGCGCGCTCTGCTGGGCGATGCAGGCCGGCACGTACTCGCTCTTCGAGGCGCGCTCGCTGCTCCGCAACGTGCGTGCGCCGCTGGGCAAGGTCCCGGAGGCGGCGCGCCGGAGGCGGCGGCGGCTCGGGCCTCACCTCGGCCCGTTGGAGCCGCCCGTCGAGGCGGGGCGCGCCGCCATGCTCGTCCTGACTGCGATCGCGCTGACTAGCGACGCGAAGATGGAGGGCGGCATGCTGCACGAGTTTTGGACCGGCGTGGGCCGGCTCGCGCAGGCGCGGACTGCCTTCGATCACGCCGCGGCCGCCGCCACGCCCACGCTCGCGCCGCCGACGGAGGCGCCCGCCCCCATCGTCGAGGAGAGCCCGATGCCCCCGCTCGTGGGGGACGCAACCTTCTTGGGCGTCTTCCCGGACGCTTGATGGCGGCGGCGGCGGCGGCGGCGGCGGCGCGATTAGAGTTGGTGCGACGCGCGCGGCCAGAGCCAGAGGCTACGGAAAGTGAAGCTATGTAAAATGATTGGTGCATGATGTTCTGCGTAGAGTATAGAGGAACGAGGAGGTGGACGACGACGACGAGCAAGGCCTCGCCCTCGCGCCGGAGGAGAAGGCCGGCCTGGGCCCTGGCGGTGGCGCCGGAGGAGAAGCGGGGCTTTCGAGGAGGCTTTGGACTCCTGATCCGGTCCGGGGCCACTTACTTGCACTTCGGGCACGAGGGAGGCTTCTTCGGAGGATGCCGCCCAGGAGCAGTCCATGGAGCAGTCGTCATCGGTGCTGGGCGCCGCCCTGCAGCGGGCGGCGCAATGCTCGGGCTGGGCGCGCCGGGAGATGCTTGCGGGCGAGGCTATGGCCAATCGCAACCAGGCCAGGGCGGCGCTTACTATACCGTATACGGTCGCTGATGAGACTCGATTTTTTGGGGCGTTGCAGGGCGGGTGTCGGTCGGCCGCCCGTGCGCCCCACAATACCCACCACAATCACCCACCTCGTCGTCTGGCGTCTGGGCTGCACATCAGATGTGTTCCGAAATTATGTTCAATGACTCGGAAGAAGAAGCTGGACCCCTGGCGAGGCAGGTCGCTAGACTGAGATGAGACCGCCAGAGTGGAGTAGGGAGTCCACCGAGCACCGCGCTGTGAGCCTGTGGCGCTGTCCCTTGTCAGGAGCAGGAGAAGATCGTTCCCCTGATCGTCCTTCCAAAACCCTGGGCCTGCTCGTGTGCAAGTGGGGACCCTTTCCTCCTCCCATCCCTCGTTTGGCTTTCTGTGAAATGGGAACCTAGAGCCCACGGTTCCCTGGGGTCGACTCGTGAACGAGTATAAAGAGCGGTTGGAAACGACCAAAGAATTTTACTACAAAACTCCCTCGCACGACACTAGGCACGGGACTGGCGCGCACTGGCACTAACTAACACCGGTACGGCTAACCTCGAAATCTGCACCTTGGATGGCTGCGCTCCCTGTTTCGCAGCCATCCGTGCTAAGGATGGCTGGCACGCCTAGATCTCAGCCATGCACTCCTACCGGATGGCTGAGAACTAGGCATGCCAGCCATCCTTAATTCACATGGTTGCAATTAAAGCATCCTGGCCACTCCGCCCTCCCAGCACGCGCCATTTTGGCTGCCTTCCAGCCAGTGCAGCCATCCTCCGGCCGATGGCTGCGATGGCTGTGTCCCGGCCATCTCCGCCCGGCCGCATGATGGCTGTCATACAGCCGTCGCAGCCATCGGCCGGACGATGGCTGAGCTTACTAGATCCTGACCAAGCGTTCCAACGCGATGGCTGAGAGATAACGACGCCAGCCATCCAGAACAAGGGTGTGGTGGCTCGCGCAGCGTGAG